AGATCCTGTGAATAGAAAATCATTGAATATTTTTTAAAAATTAGCCCCAGAAATGTAAGGAAGAGTATCAAGTCAAGAAGAGTGGAAGGTAAGGAAGGACTTGCCCCCTGGGGTCTTGGTCCCTTCTACACAGACTGATGCTGTATTTGTGGAAGGTAAAGTGCTTCAGCATCCCTCTGCCTGCTGGGGTTCTGCCAGGGAGCACACAGGGCTCCCAGGAAGAGCTGCGGTGTTAGCTCAGCTGGCCAGGGTCTACCCTGTCCAACAGATGCCTCCTGACATCCTCCACCACCATGGTTATTATGACGAAGCCACTGAAGCAGGTTGCTATCTCCCACTGGGGCTGGCCCTTGATTTCAGAGGGACAATTTTCTCTGTTTCCCTTGCTAGCTTTTGAGAGTAGAGGGTGAGGAATTTGAGGATGCCCCACAGGGAGTCTGAAAAACACCTCTGGGGGCAGGTGCCTGGTGTCAAGGCAAGTGGAGGATGTGGCTAAGTGTGGGGATATAGGAGGAACTGTTCCACACATCCCTCAGAGAAGCTTCTGCAGCACCCATATTGCACACCTGGTCCCTGCTTTAAAAATTTAACACATATGAATTATACATGTTAATGGGGTTCAGTGTGATGTTTCCATTCCTGCCTATGGTGTGCTCTGGTAAATACTTTCCTCCCTTTCCACTGCCTACCCCACAACTTAGTTCCTAGTAATCACTATTCTACTTTCAGAATGACTTTCTTTTTTAGTCTCCATATATAAGAAAGAGCATGTGATACTTGTCTTTCTGTGTCTGACTTTTGTAGCTCAACACAATGTCTTCCAGTTTTTATCCAGTTTTCTGCATTTGTCAGGAATTCATTTTTTTTGTTTTGGCTGAATAATATCCTTTGTGTACATATATATCACATTTTCTTTATCCATCCGTCTGCTCGATGGGGCAGCAGACTCTGTGTCTTAATGCCTTAGCTATTGTGCGTGCTGCCTCCATAAATATGAAGTGCCTGCCTTTCTGAGGGCTGAGTGTTTGATGGTGCACATGGTGGTAGTAGTACAGGTGGAATGCGCTGCGTACTGGTCTAGCTTTTAAGGGGCAGCTTTTAAGTGAAGTTAGGGTGGGATTTTCTTAGCGTCCTTCCCCCATCTTTCCCAAAACACTGATAAAAATCAGTGTAACCAACAGAATATTGATTTTAAAAAGTGGCAGAAAGATCCAGAGGGAAAAGAGACGTCGATGTTTACTCTGCCCGAATTTTCAGGCTTTTGCTCAAACACAGCCTTCCCAGAAAGGCTGCCCTCTGCATCTCAATCCAAGGCACCCACGGTCTTTACATTTAATCACAGGCTCGCTTGTGTGAAATGCTAATGTCTTCTGGCACCAAGCTACTGTGTGAAGATGGCTATAGACTATGACTGTGGCTTATTTTTCCTCTTAATAGTATCATTACCTGAATGTCGTATGTTTTAGTCCATTGTTGGTTAGCTTATTAGGCTTGGTTAGTTTATTATGGCCTCTGTCTCAGGAAAAATTCATGAGGAGGTAGGACTTGGCTCCTTTGTATCGCTAGGACGTACAGCAGCGCTGGTAGACAGTTGATGCTTAATTAAAAATTTACTAACTACAAGAGAGCAGGCAGGCTGTCTTCCGAGAGAAAGTGTCACAGCAGTGAAAAGAGAGTCTGTGCGTTGCCAGCATTACTCTGTAATAGTACAGGGAGCTTTGGGGTCCTGTGCACCCTAAATCTTTCTAAAGTGGGGCTTCTCAGCCTTGGCACTGTTGATATTTATTCTGGCTGTGCTTTGCTGCAGGTCTGTCCTATGCATTTTGGGGTGCTGAGCAGCATCCTTCATCTCTATGCACAAGAGACACCAGCAGAACCACCCAACCCTGATGTGACATCTAAAAATGCCCATTGCCAAATGTCTAGGGGAGGGGTACAGAATACCCAGCTGATTGAAAACCACTATCCTTAATTAAAACCAGGATCCCTACAAGCTACATCTTACAGAATGGGCCCCAATTGAATATGCAGTTGCAGCTTGATACCTATGAATGCTGTGCATTTCTCCTGTAATGAAGCGGCTCCCTTTCCATATCTTTCCCCCTGTTCTGCATCAATCACATTATAAGAGGCAGGAAGACAAAGGAAGCAAAGTCAGCGGACACACATTCATAGTGAGATGCGTCTCTTCTGGTGCAGCAACTCCTCAGATGTCAGCGGGAGACGCAAAATTAGAAATAATTAAAGCACATAAACAAACAGGGAGCCGAGGCTCTGTGGCCTGTGGCACATCACACAGACACCAGCTGTCGCTTAGGGGTGGCTGGGGGGTTTCTGCCAGGGGCGGGGAGGCTGGCTTGGGTAAAGCTTTTCTGTGTCCATCTGTAGTGCCGGCCTTGACCGTGACGCAGCGTGGTGGCTGCCCCTGTGTGACAGGAGCGTGAGCCTCAGGCTCTGCAGAGGACCTGAGGGCGGGGTGGGCGGCCTCAGACAGGGCTGGGGGGCTGCTTTATTCCTTTTTAATGAAGGTAAATCGAAGTATTGGCACCCTTATTAGAATGCACTGTGGAGGACGTGCAAATGAAGGGTTGGGACAATACCAACGCTGCAGACAAGCAAGAAGACGCAAGGAAGGGCTCGAGTCTTCTTCGTTAACATTTACAGTAAATAGGGAGGGGAAGGTGGGTTGAAGGGAGGAGAGGGCATCTGGGAGAAAAGAGAAATCAAAATATATCATGCACAGGTGCTAATTCCCTATGGTGAACATGATCATTACGTATATCTAAAATGTACCGATAAACTTAATTTAAAAAATTTAAAAAACATTTATAGTAATACCTCAGTGCATGAACGCTTTTGTTTGGCAAAATTTAGCTTCTGTTCACAAGCTCCGCATTGGATGCCAAACATGACCACAGCTGTCTTCCCCACACAGACACAAATGCAGCAAATTAAGTGCATAAACCAAGGTACCACTGTAGTTGGAAAGAAATAATAAAATAAGGTCTCTGAATCATTAGATTCTCTTTCTTATCCCTGGTTATCATGGCCATAAGAAAGCAAGAAGGGGTATGTATGTATGTGTATAATGTGTGTGTGTGTGTGTGCGTGGTGTGGGTATGGGTGTATATGTGTGTGTATATGTTTATGGGGGCATATAATATGCGTATACATGTGTGTATATATGTGATTATGTGGTGTGTAATACTGCATATGTGTGTGTGTATGTGGCATGTGTATATGTGTGTGTGTGAGTGGTGTGGGTATGGGTGTATATGTGTGTGTATATGTTTATGGGGGTGTATAATATACGTATACATGTGTGTATATATGTGATTATGTGGTGCATAATACTGCATATGTGTGTGGCAGATGTGGTATGCGTGTGTATGTGGCATGCGGTGTGTATATGTGTATGTGAGTGGTGTGGGTATGGGTGTATATGTGTGTGTATATGTTTATAGGGTTGTATAATATACATATACATGTGTTTATATATGTGATTGTGTGGTGTGTAATACTGCATATGTGTGTGGCAGATGTGGTATGCGTATGTATGTGGTGTGTGGTGTGTATCTGTGTGTGTGTGTAAGACACAGTCTGGCATACCTGTTTGGAAATTCCTTCATGAAAGAAACCTCAGAAAACAGTGTTTGTATTTTCTTAGATGGCTGCATTGTTGTGATTTGATTATAAGCTTTCTCTCTCATGTTAGTGTTACGTATTTTAAATGGGAACTCCTATTTGTTTGGAACTGTTTTTCCCCAGTGCTACAGCCTGTGTTTGTATCCCTTCAAAAATGCACCTGCTGAAATCCTAACCTCCAACACGGCTTTAGGATGTGGGACCTTTGGTGGCTGGTTAGGTCATGATGGTGCAGTCCCTGTCAAGTAAGGTCAGTGCCTTAATGAGAGACACCTGAGACCCTTTGTCTCTTCCACCATGTAAGGACACAGCCAGAGGTGCTATTTATAAGCAAGTAGCCCTCACCAAACATGAGAGCTGCTGGTGCCTCAGCTTCAGAATGGTGATGAGTTTCTGTTGTTCTAGTTTATATTTTCTCCTACCACCCTGGGTAGACCATGATACCTGGTTTTTAAGAAGTATCCTGGGTCATTTGCCCATCAAGATGATGCATACCATCTGCTCTTAGTTTTGAGGTCATGGGAGGATGGTGGCGATGCTTGTGTATCGGGTCCAGTCCCTCCCTGCCTTGATCCCATTGAGATACCATGTGCCACTGTTAGTCTGTAAGGCTGGGCTGGCCTCCAAGAGAGAAGCTCATGGCCCGCTGTGGCTAACTGGAATGGAGCTCCTAAGAACTGAGACTCGATCTCGTTCACCAAGTGTCCACAAAGCCAGTGGTTAGTAAATACTTGTTAAATAAATACCAAGGATAAATGCTTTGCTTAGGTAATGTGAGTCAGTTGAATTCACTAGTTAAGATAGCTCAGAAGGGTGTGTGGATTGCAGTAAGGTGTTCTGGATGTAACTCTGAATGTGGGTGTTCTTTGGAACTCTCTCAATGTTTGGATCTCCTTCTTTTCTGATCTCATGAGAGCACCAGGTTGGCAGCTTCCTGAACATACTGACCTTGCATCCTGTCCTTAGGCTGCCATCCACATGAGCCAGCCACACAGGCAACTTTGAATAGATCAGGAGTTAAGTCCTTTGTACCAGTTACCGAGCCGTGATGAGTGTGTATTGGGATTTGGTGTGCAGGGCCCAATCTTCCCCTGGATGTGCTTTTTTCCACTTTTAGGATCAGCACCAACTCCTCAGATACTGTTTTTGGGAACCCTGAAAATCCTCCACCCCTAAAACTTGTCTTCTTCCTAATGATCCATCCTGGCCTGAAAGCTGGATCTGCTCACGGTCCAGCTCAGCCCTGGTGTCCTTGGCAGACATAGGCCAGTGGCCTCAGGCACCTGGGGGCCAGACGGATCTTGGGGCTGAGTGGAGTGGAGGTGCTTTAGTGACACTACTGCTTCTTGTTTCAGGGTGCAGCAGAAGACCCCCAGATGGCCTTGGCACTGAACTTAGACTCTACGTTGATGAAGAAGAAGTCAGATCCTGAGGGCCCAACACTGCTGTTCCCTGAGAGCGAGCTCTCCATCCGGATAGGTAGCACTGGGCAGCTTTCAGGCAAGCTCTCTGCCACAGGTGCTAGGCTAAGCCAGATAGTACATGCTTGGCGCTGGTGGGAGAAGGATGGGGGAGCTGTTGGGTGCTCTGCCTGCCCCTCCTACTTGGTCACCCCACTACTGCCTAGAGCTAAACTGATACTCTGGCTGGGTGCCTTTATTTCTCATCTGCTCTTAAGAGTACTTGCTTACTGTACAGGCAATAATGACACCTTTCCAAGTTGGACAGGTGGACAGGGTCACTCTGATGGGGATGAGCCCAATTTGGGTTACAGAGTGTGGTCATTTGTGTCTCCATCCTCCCCTGTCTGATGATCTCTGAGTGCCCTTTTTAACTGACGTGATTCACATTTTTTTTTTTTATTTGGCTGCAAAATTGTAGAGGGGTCTGTCACTGATTCCATTTGGGGCCAGAAAAACTAAAGATGCTGACCGCCGAGTCATGCCTTCTCTCTTGCGTTAATGCCTTCTCTCTTGCATTAGAAGAAATGCATCTCCGGAAAGGAATCAGGTAGCAGTTTCTCAGCCTCAGTGGGACAGGTAGAGACTGTGCTGCTGCCCTCTGAGAAGTTGCTAATGTCATGGAATGTGTTGTTTCCAAGGCTCAGGGGCAGACTCCTCCTCCCTCTTGCTCCAAGGCACTGTCACTGAGGACATCTGGCCCCCTCGGGCTGGGTAGCATCAGAGGAGTCACCGGGCTGTCTTTTGCTTGAATTTAAGTAGGCAGTCCTAGTGTGAGGTCCCCTTGCTCTCCCATTTCTGTAGAGGCAGCCTATAGGAATAGAAACCACGCAGATGATGGTGAATTCAGGCTCCTCCCTGCTTACTTGGTGTCGTCTGTTGAGAGAACAAGTTGGAGACTGGTCACAAGCTTCACAGGAGTGATCGAAGGGGCCACTGTTCCTTTTTTGTACCCATATTGGCATTTTAATTGGGTATACTTGCTGTCGCTAGGCTGAGATTATCTCCAATCCTTGGGGAGAGTTATAGCCAAGCCACAGCCTAAACTCAGTGATCTGTGTTTAGATTCTGCCCTCTGCACACTATTCACGGAGAACGTAAATGTCTTCTCCACACCCATTCATCTTCACTGCCCTCCATGATTTCCCATGTGGGCTGTAACAGGGTGTAAAAATGTCACATACTGGCATTAAAACCACATACTGCCCACTGCCTCCAGTCACACGTCTTGTTTCTGTTTGAAGCAGAACAGCTGAGCCAGTGCCTACTCTGCTCCTTCCCCTACTGTGTGTTCCCCGGGGGGTGCAGCGGGTGGGCATTGTATTCCCACAGATCTTGCCATTTTCCATACTGAATCCTGGACCCACGGGCACACGGACCTTCTGGTGGGTTCTACTAGCAATACTGTGTTTGGTCTTCTGTGTGCCCTTTTGAAGACATTGCAGTTTTTTTTTTTT